AGTATTTTTTCTTTCCCATTCCATTTGTTGCATGTTATCTTCGTTCTTGGGTCAATATCTTTGCTAGCTAAGCATTTTCCACTTGTCAGTTGGTGTTGACAATACAGTGGTACCTTGGTTCTCAAACTTAATCCATTCCAGGAGTCCGTTTGACTCCCGAAATTGTTCGAAAACCGAGGAGCGGCTTCCAATTGGCTGCAGTAGAATCCTGTACTCAAGCGGAAGCCATGTCGGACATTTGTCTTCCGGGGAAAAAAATCACAAACCAGAACACTTACTTCCAGGTTTGCGGTGTTCAGGAGCCAATTTTTTTGGCAACTAAGCCGTGTGAAAACCAATGTATTATTGTACTGGTCTAGATGGGCCAACGGTCTGGCTCAGTACAAGTCAGATTGCACTCCCTGCTTTCTTTATCTTTAAACTAGAGTTGGACCAGACAGCCTTTCAAACAGAAGGCACTTTCAGACAGAGGACTTTCTTCTGTAAAGTAGGGCACCCGGCCATCAAACACACAGGGCTGGGAGCTAGTAGATTTGCTGGGAGCCTGGTGAAATGGTATATTTCCATCCCACCATTGCACATTCCAAGTCTTCATAGGCCTAGAGTTCTATGTGGCTGGACAGAGCCAAGCAATGCCCCAACACTGGGGTCAATGTAGTTTTAACTGGGTGGGGCTGGGGTGGGGCAGGGCAACAGCAAGGTCAGGGCTGTGCATGTGCACCAACAGCCCCAGCTTCACTGCTGCCAGGCCCCATCTGTCAGGAGGTGAATTGGGGGAAGTGTATTATTTGAAGTGAGATCTCCTCAGCATTCGGTCCACAAAGAACCACTGGAGTTTCTTGAATGTGCACGATAAGAATTTGGAATCTGGGAGCCCACATCTCCCAGTTAAGACAATCTGCAAGGATTCTGGTATCAGATACCTGGTATCAGGTCTTACCAATTTCCTTCCCATACCATTCAGTCTGTTGCTTCAGAGTGACTGACTGGGATAGTGGAATCCTGTCCTTTATCTGTTCTGAACATCAAAGCAAGCCAATTAGCTTATATCAAAGCAAGAGAATATAAACATATATGAGCTCATTGCTACAACTACCAGTTAATTCTGGGGTTATCTTGACTACCAAGATGGTGTTTGCAGGGCTTCCAGAATGGTTCACCTTTTGTTCACACAGTCCAGAAATGCAGGCATCTTTGATGTTTGTTTGTTTTACAATCAAGCGGTATATAAATTTTAAGAAATAATAACTAAAAAACAAACCCAGCAGTCCTGTTTCCGTTCCGCTGCAGCTAAAACCTACATTATTTGTCTTGCTAGCTGCTATGGCCAAACCCAACATAATTAATTGTGCAATTAATTATGTAATTAACTTCAGTGCATTTAAATGGAAGGGGAGAATTTAAATGCAGGAAAAAAACTATAATCGCATATGCAAATATTTGCAAACGAAAAATAACAATAGCTTGTATTTGCTTAAGTGGATTCCATTCCTGATCATGGACAAACTTGAAAATTGTGACAATTTCTGCTCCTGCTTTCATCTCCAACCTCCCTAGCTGCTGCTGGCATCTCCATATCTCTTCCCCACATCAGTATAAGATGATATAAGCGCATGCTAGCAGTGAATATGCCATTGTCAGCACACAGTGTGCAACTAACTCATGAAAAACTGGTGCTGTTTCCTTTCCAGAAAAGCCAAAACATGATCCGAACCACCAGAAGCTATTTCATCACATCCTTGTTCACAACATGGCGCCTTCTAATGAGACAATTGTGCAACTGACCGCTAGATGGCAGCTGTATCCCAGAAAAGAGAGAAAGCTGTATTCTCCTTGCATGTATTCACTGGTTAATGTGACCTAGATAGAAATCTTTCAATAGGAGAACATAAAAAGGAGGAAGCGGGTGCTCTTCGTTATAATACCAAAGGTGCTGACAAAGCAGCAGGATGGAAAATAAAGGCATGGCGGCGTTTGATCTTGGAATAATTCCCATGGTTCAACAGCCTGAACTGGATTTTCACATGGGAAGAAGAGTATAATGCAGAAAAACAAAGATATGCCAAATATCTAGGTGCAGTTAGGCTGTAGGTCCCTAAATATTGTTGGCAGACTTGTCATATTTAGGCTTATTGCAAAAACAATACTGGATACTTGCTAGCTATCTTTTGACAAGATGCTGGTTTCCTATCAAAAATGTTTTTAATCAGCTCTCCCCCAAAACAACAACAACAACAACCAGGCACATTTTGAAAGAATCTTTAAAGTTCAAAGAGAGAGAAAATATTTTCTGCAGTTTTAATTTTCAGACAGAAACTCACTTACACATACAAATATCCACTCTAAACAAAATTGTATTTAGTACCACTCTTTCCTCCTAGCTATGTCTCCTTCTAGATTATGGCACTTCTAAAACAATAGACGATGGCCCAAAGGAGGAACGAGTCTGGAGGAAATAGTCTAGTAATAATGAGCTAATTCACCATGCAGAAAACATGCCACGATGACTAGGAGCAAGACCAACAGGGACATGAAGTTGCCAGTGCCTTGAGGTGAAATTCATGAATTATATTGGCAGAGCAGTGGTTCATCAGCTTCTGCCCACAGGGGAAAAAATTCAGGTCCTGCAGGTCCAGAGGTGCTTGGGTCATCTTCATCTGACACAAGAAAAATGTTTCTGAAACCATCCCAGCACTAAAATGGATCAATGGACTTTGCAATCAGTGAAGAGAGCAAAGTTGTATAATGGTGCTGTACAGGGATGGGCAAATTTGGCCATTTCACCTTCTCTCATATACATAGTTTCCTAGCCTTCAGTTCAGTTTGTGCCCATTCCACATCTGTTAGTGAACTTTAAAACGAAACAAAAAAAGCACAAAAGCCCATACACATTTTTGCATACATTTCTCCTAATACATGCTTTTTTGCAAGCAATATTCCATAACATAGTGCTTTTTTTCTACATTAATTTCATTAATATATGCTGTTTTGTACATATTTTTTGGGTTGAGCAACAGCATCGCAAAGTTCAGAGGAATGCAAATTTCAACAGAAAGCTGCGTTTTCACCCACTTAATGGCTCAGGAAGTGCAAATTGGCTGAACGAACATCTCCCCCATCTGTAATTGACAGTGTTCGAGTCCCAGAATATTTATCTATTCCAATATTTCTATGCCACTTCCTGGGACAAACCCCTCCCAAGGCAGTTCATATGAATAAAGCATAAAACAATTCTTCATTCTCTGGCCCAGAGGGAGGGAATTGGGTCCAGTCAGCAGGCCAGATTGTTATCTACCCCAACCCAGCGGGTCAAGTTAGACAGGTGGCTGGGCCCACTTACCTGGTGTACAGGTAACACCAAGTGTACAGTGTTGCAGGGGTGGCCTGCACAATTTGAAATCAAACCACACAGGCATAACCACAGACTGCAAAGCCCTGGTGTTCAGCTGGCCCATCAAGTCTTGCAAAACACTGTGCATGGGGCTTGGCAAGCTCAGAGCTGACGGGGCACCACTCCATGTGCATCACAGTCCCAGGGATGCGCTGGGCTTTGAGTAGCTGCTGATCAGGAGATCCAAAATGGCCCCATGGGCCAAATGGGGAGGTCAAGTGGGTCTCATTAGTTCCACAAGCCACAGTTTCCCCACCCCTGCTCAATAGTGGGGCAGGAGAGCTGAAAATAATGGTGATATATTTCTTAAATCTGGCAACCAATGCACCCATTTGGGTTTCAGATGAATCTAAAAAGCCCATTTGCTCTAGGAGGCTTAGTTTGGTCAGAATCAAGTGTTCGCTTCCAGAGTTAATGCTAAATACATTACTTCTGGTTAATGAACCACCATAGCCACTAGAGGGTCGTGAAAATTTGTGTCCCGGGCTTTTTAGACTTGTCTACCCATGTGCTATCTGAAACCAAAGGGGTGCATTGGTTGCCAGATGTGATTTTTTTTATTTCCAGCTCTCCTACCCCACTACTAGTCCTAAGGTGGTGGCGTGGATTGTACCTCTTCAGACTGCAGGTTTCGAATGACACATTTGAATGCTCCTCTGTATTAAAAACAAAGGAACTTCCTGCAAGCAGAAAGCCAACACATCAGTGAAAGGGCTGAGTTAGACTCTTTCTCCCTGATCTACTAGTTTTCTACTTGCATTGACATTTAATTTTCTATGTGGGAGCTTTCAAAACTGGCATCCCTCCAGCTACAGTCCTTGCCACGTTGTTATTTTAAAAAGTGTGTGTGTGTGCCTCCCATGGCTTCTTGGGTAAAACACCAGATTTTGACAGCTTTCTTTGGCGCAAGCTATTTGATACAGCTGCACACTGTCTGCTCAATAGCCTCTGGGCAGACACACCGAAAAAATGTGGACTGGCTTTCCCAGGGTTGTCAAGCAGTCGCTTGAGTGCTGTAAAAAAATGCCAAGAGCCCAGCAAAGTTGGAAGGAGCTTAGTGTCTATCACAGCACCCACTTAAGAGACTACCTTTTGAAATCAACTCAAGAGAGGGAAGGCAGGTTTAAGAATAGCAGTAAATGTCAGCTTTTAAATGCTGTATAAATCCAGCTGTCTTGGAGCTGGCAGATTCAAGTTTCCTTGGGGCACAACATTGGGAAGGGAGAAAGTTTAAGATTTACAGCCAATGTCAGCTGCAGCAAATATGGGACACAGCTGCTAAATAATAATAATAATTTACCAAGCAAAGGACAAGAGTTTAGACTAAATAGCCCTGCACTGAAATGATAGGCATCCCAGTTTCCATAGGTTTGCGTAGCAGCTGCTGCACAAACAATGGCCTGAGCATCCTAGGATTGGCAAGTTCGTGAACAGGTGAGTAGAACTGAGGTCAGTCTCCTGGTCCCAAAACTGAGGATGGAAGCATATGGCTAACAAGAAGAGGTTGGGTACCAATGGCTCAGTGGTAAATTCTGAAGTGCAAGAGCTCTTCATGACAACCTCCATAGCCTGCCCCCACGGAGAATCCATCAACAATGTCTAGGCAACACGATGACCATGTACATACGCAATAGACAATCTTTATAGAATTCCTTCAAACCATAAAGATTGTCTATTGCGTATGTACATGGTCATCGTGTTGCTTAAACATTGCTGACATTCTCTTTGCAACACAAGGGTTTGTTTGCCCACAGACAATCCAAGCAGATTCATTGAACCGTTATCAATGAAGACCAAAAAAACCAGTAGTACACAGCATAAAACATAACTGTGCACAGTTTCTTGGGAGTAAGTGCCTCTGAACTTAGCTGAGGCTACTTCAGGTGGCATAGAATGAGTTTGTCAAACACATCTTTAACTTTAACCAAAGGTCCCCCTATTTCCCTCCGAGTTCCCAGAGTTCCCTGGGAAAGAGGGATTGATTGCTAAACCACCCAGAGAACTGTAGCTCTGGGAAGGAAATAGAGGTCTCAGGAGACCTCTCAGGACCTGTAACAAACACCTGGCCCCAGGATCCTTTGGGGGGAAGCCATGAAGTGATGGAAGAGAGCTTCCTATGTGCAGTGGAGGGGGGGTCAGTGTATGGAAGTTCCCCAATGTTTCTTTTTAACAGGAGTTCCTGTGCCTATTAAACATAATAAATCATGCTGAACTTAATGTGACATGCAACTGTCTCATAATGACAGCCTCAGATATTGTGCCCCAAATACATAATTCAAGGTTTTTATGTTTTTGGCAGCGTTTCATATGGAGAATTAACATCAGAGAGAGTTCCCCCTCCCCTTTCACTATGCAGTCAAAAGGTTTGAACATTTCAGACTTGATACATATTGCAAAGCAGTTCCTGATAGCTTCCAAAATAGTAAGAGCCTGGCAGTGTTAGATCAAGCTGGCATGGGCTTGGTGGCAAAGGAGATATATATATGTGTGTGTGTGAAAATAAAGGCATCTGTGTTCTGTTCTTCAGTCTGCCCCCTACACACACACACACACACACCCTTCACCATGGTTTCCGGGGCTGTTCTTCTCATGCTTAGTGTTTCTGTTTCAACATGATTTAGAAGCCGCACATTTCCTTTAAAGCACGGAACAGCCAGTTCTGAGGGCTTTCTTCTTTCTTTCCTGCCTCTGAGGTTCTCCTTGTTTCAGCACAGAAGAGCCTAAACAAATTCAAGGATGAATCATAAGTGAGTGAGTTGTGTGACTCAACCTGGAATCTCAGCTGGTGTCTTGATGCCATTCATGACACCATCTACATAAACCAGCATTTTGCAAGACAGGAAACAGTCTTGCAGGCAGAGCAGGTGTTCTACATAGAGACTAATGCAACTTTGGCCTGTGTTGTCTTGTTGAACGTCAATTACTCATTAAGGCCCCACAAGTGTTGGTACCAAAGAGAGGTATATACAGTTCCCTGACAAGGCTCTAAACCAGAGGTAGTTAATCCATTCTCTAGGGCTGGGCGATATATTGATATATCATCCAAAAGTGGTTTGAAATCCACATTGTGGTATCGGTTTCATAGTTTTGACTTGGCCATATATTGTGAATCATGATATGTGTTAGGACTGGGCAATTTATTGTCTAAAACCAGTTTCACTTTCTTTCTTTCTTTCTTTCTATCTATATCTATCTATCTATCTATCTATCATCTATCATCTATACTTTTCAAGTTTGTAAATTTCACTGATTTTATACATTTCACTCATTCTACAATCAGTTTGACATTTCAAAACTTGACTTCCTTTCCCCCTCTTTCTGCGGTTCCTTAAATTTGTTTTTAATATCTTCTGCGTATCCAAATTAACTTAATTTACTCATTTATTCATCTTCTTTAAATATATACTCTTATAAAACTGCAGGTTTTTACAATAATCCTGCCAATGCTTTTATCTGTTTATAATTTATCTGTAAATGTTCAATAAATCATTTCCATTCTTTTGTAAAAAGATTGTTATCTTGATTTCTTCTTCTTCCAGTAAGTTTCACCTTTTCTGCATATTCCATAAGTTTTTATATCTATTCTTCCTTTGCTGGGACTTCTGCTTCTTTCCATTTTGGGGCAAGTAACATTCTTGCTGCTGTAGTAGTTTTGTCACTACAATTCCCAAAAGAAAAGCTTCTATTTTTTGGTTTTTTACAAAGGGTATTTTAAACATCCTTTTCTTTTCATTATTTATCATTTCCCAGTAAGCTTTAACCTTACTACAGGACCACCACATATAATAAAAAGAACCTCCTTTCTCTTTACATTTCCAACACTTATTTGATTTAGATTTATACATTTTTGCCAACTTACTCAGTGTTAGATACCATCGATATATCATTTTCATATAATTTTCTCTTAGACCATAACTAAAACCGGTTTCAAGTCCATATCATGATATTAGTTTCATAATTTTTGACCTGGCAATATATCACAATCGTGTGTGTGTGTGTGTGTGTGTGTGTGTGTGTGTGTGTTTAAAGAGGTTTAAAGACTGTCTAAGAGGTTTAAAGACTGTCTAAGAGGTTTAAAGACTGTCTCAAGGCAAATCTTAAAAAATGTAGTATAAAAACTGACAACTGGGAAACACTGGCCTGCGAGCGCTCCAGTTGGAGAATAGCCTTTACCAAAGGTGTCATGGGCTTTGATGACACTCGAACTCAGGACGCAAGGGAGAAACGTGCTAAGAGGAAAGTACGCTTGGCAAATCCACACCGTGTTCAACTCCCGCCCGGAAACCAATGTCCCCACTGTGGAAGGACATGTGGATCCAGAATTGGACTCCACAGTCACTTACGGACTCACTGTTAAAACCGTGTTTATGGAAGACAATCTTACTGGGTACGAGTGATCACCAAAGAAGAAGAAGAAGTGTGTGTGTGTGTGTGTGTGTGTGTGTGTGTGTTATGCAAGAATCCCAGTGTGGGAGGGAAACTGTGAAGCCAGCCAATTGCCTCTACATAGCTCCATCCTCATTTCAGACACTGTGATATGTCAGTATATCGTGATGTTCAGCTGGTGATAAATTGTGATGTTGAAAATGTTCTCCTGAGGACATTTTTCTTTCCTCACCCAAGGACCCCACTGCCTTTGATGGTGGTAGGAGCAACAGATTTTCAAGTTTAAGTAAAGACAGCACTGTGATCCAGGAAGAGATTTAAACATATCTGCCTAGCCCACTGTTCAGATGGGCATAGGAATTCATTTAAAGGTAAAGGTAAAGGACCCCTGGACGGTTAAGTCCAGTCAAAGGCGACTATGGGGTTGTGGTGCTCATCTCGCTTTCAGGCCAAGGGAGCTGGCGTTTGTCCACAGACAGTTTTCCGGGTCATGTGGCCAGCATGACTAAACCACTACTGGCACACGAAGGACCACGACGAGTGCCAGAGCACATGGAAATGCCATTTACCTTCCCGCCACAGTGGTACCTATTTATCTACTTGCACTGGCATGCTTTCAAACTGCTAGGTTGGCAAGAGCTGGGACAAAGCAACAGGAGCTCACCCCGTCGTGGGGATTCGAATTGCTGATCTTCCAATCAGCAAGCCCAAGAGGCTCAGTGGTTTAGACCACAGCACCACCCGCATCCACATAGGAATTCATTTAAAGATGAATTTACCTACTTTGCACTCTCTGAAACAACACATGGACCTAAACGTTGCCATCCTTTGAAATTAACTCTTCTCTGAACTTTACAATGCAGTTCTCCAGTGCAATGCATATAGTACAGCAGTGTGATGCCTGCGTACAAATGCATATGCTAGTGTAGAATCTGCATGGAGCTCTTGCAGGGCTCCCGATCTCTGATGTAGCTCAGGAGCCTCCAGACGTTGTTGGACTACAGCTTCCATAATCTCTACTTTTTGGCCCTGCATATAATAGGGTGATGTGTGCCTATAAACGCATATATAAGTGAAAATAACATATAAAATGTATTTGATAGGAAAAATTGCTATGCAAAAGTGTGTATAGTATACTATGCAAATTTGCATACAAATGTATGTATATTAGGAGAAAATTGCACTAAAGTGCTGATGAATTCCCATGAGGACTTCATTTTTTTAAAGTAAATTGATGTGGAAATATGGAGAACTAAATTTAAGAATGGAAAAAACAGGAAACTGAATGATACCTAAACTGACTGATTGGCCCATGCATAGATTTATCAACCAGTTTAACGATAGACCCTTTGTTATACTTCCTGCTTACCAGCAGGTGGAGATGTAACCACTCTGAAAAGACTATTGAAGGCACAGTTAAGTTACCATTCTCATTATTATTTATTTCCTATAGCTTTTTCCATGTTGAAGATTGTCTTTACAAATCGTGGATTCTGTTCAAATTCCAGGACAAAAAAATTATGAACTTTGTTACTTTTGGTATCAGAAGAAAAGAGGTGAGGTGGGGGAAGAACATTAATTTAGAGGCTAAGAAACATCCTTATAAATGGTGAGGGGCAGCTACCATCCCATGCCTGAAGAGCAAGTGGAGCTGAGATGGTAATCTTATGGATGCAGAAATCTTCAGTCACGTCCAATTGTGACAGGGCATTTGATTCCCACTGTTCCAAAAGAGGGGAAACTCCACACAAAAAATGGGAAAATTAATCAACTGTGAATTCACCCCAGGTTGGAAGTATTATCCCATGACACAAAATGCAGAGAAAACCAGAGAACGTGCCAACTTCAAAACCAGCCTCCTTCTGTTTCAGCAAGGCTCTGTTCCGCTATTGGATTCAATGACAGCAGAGAAATGCCATTCATTTGCCTGCCCGCCCCCCCCCCCCCAAGCCATGCACTGTTTGGATTACAACATATTGCGGTGAGTAGTTTTCTAGTTCCAGTTTAAGGGCACACAAGAGGTCTCAGTCACTATGTTGTTTTCTCATGGAGTGATCTACATTAGAAACAACCTGAGTGGGACCTGGAAAAAAAACAAAAAACAAGTGGCTGTGTGGAATGCTCTAGTTCGGGATTCCAAACGTTCCACTCCATCTGTCATGAATTACCTAGTTTAGATTCTGGCATTGCAGGGGGTTGATGATTCTATTTCCCCTGCATCCTACTCTGGAGGGATGCAGAACGGGAGTGCACAGATTCCATGGGAATGTTCTCCACTTGCACCCAAGTGTCACAGTTGAATTTCGGATTA